GGAACAGCTTACACCCTGAGAAAATACCTTAAACACCATCAAACAACAACATCTGCCTATCCCAGGTCCTTGGAAAGGACTCGATAGGTGGATAAAAATGCCAAATCTAGTCTAAACCTCTGGCTGACACTGCAAGCAACCATAGTAATAATAATAAAAACATCTTGGTCATTTTGATTACTGAAGGTGGGGAGATGATGTCATTCAAAAAGAGCAATGTATCCTTCACAGGCATTCCAAGCTTCATCTGAGTCTTATTAGCATTTCATATAGATTAGTAAATGTATTGCAACTGCTATGATGTACATCTCTGGGAGTTTCTTAAACAGGTCAGGTTGGAGTTTAGGCTGTAAAGTTCCTTTGGTCAAATTTTATAATGTGATTTTGTACAGTAAAGGCCTGCTTCTAGATGCACCAGAACTGTAATATCAAAGTAGCCGCTTCACTAGGCTTAATGATGCGCACGTGCCTAGGCAGAAAACATTTCCATTGAAGCAGTCTATCTTGATGCTTCACCTGGAGACATCAAGATGCAGGATCTTTCATTTCTGTGTTGCAATGCCATTTTGCTACAGCACTCAGTACTGAGAAGACTCTATGAAGCAGCAAAGTTTTACCCAGTCCTAGAAAATAGCCCATATTTTGAGTTCTTGTAGTTACTGCTCTGATTTTTACAGTAATTGTTATGCCTATACTTAAGTTCATTGCTGAACTTAATTGTTAAAAAGCAATCACCTTTTATATTACTGTGGTACAAATTATCTGAAAAGATAGGAAAGTGAGCAGTCACCCAAAGTAAGGGCTATTTCTTAGGGTTAAGGAAAAAGCTATAGCTTAAAAGACAGTTTTGAGAAACAAACAATTTAACTGTTTCACAGTTGTAATTCAGCCATGAATCTCGCTGGGTTTCCCATATCATTGATAAGCTGTTTGTGGTTCATTTGATTTTGGCTTAGCTTGTTGTGTAACAGCAGCCATTGTACTTTGTAAAATGTACTTCATACCTCACGTATGAGTTTAGCTAATGGTGGCTTCTTTAGCAAGCCATACTGCAATTAGGTCAACTTCAGAATTGTGGGGGGGAAATGTGTAACTTCTGGAGCTCTTTAAAAGAATGTTGGATTACAAATTGTAGTCATATTTTGAGATTTGAATTAAATTGATATTGCCAAAAATTGTATCCTTTTTCTACCATACAAAACATGATTATATTCTACAATTATCACCATTCAGTCCAAATAAGCATTCTTTCTTCTATTTCTACTTCCTTGTGAGGTGGGCAGTATCCA